GAGCTTGTGTAAGGGGATCAGTTTTGGGGTTCCACGGGGCTGGAACTGGCCCAAGGAGACATCATAAAAATAGCCCCTCAGAAGGCTCCCCTCAGCAGCACCATGCCTGCCACCCCCACGGCCCTGATGACTAATCTGTGACACAGAGACCGTAAGTAAACTCACCCCCCACACAGCAGTGCAGGGTCACACTGGACTGCAGGAAGAGGGGCTGTGAGTGCTGAGGAAAATTCTGGAACTATAGAACCGATGGACCAGGAAAACCATCCAGTTTCCCTTTTTATAGGTGAAGACACTGGGAAGCTGGCAGACTTGCCCGATGTCACACAATAAGTTAGTGTCAGAATCAAGACCAAAACCCAGGTCCCCAGATACCCAGAGGGCATTAGCCCTATCACCAAGCTATTTGCCACCACCTCTTGGGTTGGTAATTTGTGCAATAAAAGTGTATCGTACACCCATTGTGTGCCTGCTACGAGGGGAGAGAGTAAACCACACAGATGTGTTTCCTTCTGCTTGAAGCTTACAGCCTGTTCTGGTTACTACTGCTGCATAACAAACCACCTCAACACTCAGTGACTTAAAGCAGGGTTCCACAGATTGAATGTGACACCCCAAATTAATATATTAAAGCCCTAACCCCCAGTGTGGCTGGATTTGGTGTAGGGAAGTAATTAATGTTAAATGAGGTCTTAAGGGTGGGGCCTGATCCTGTAGGATTACCATCATTAGTATCTTTAGAAAAAACACCTGAGCACTCTTGCTCACCTATGCTCACTGGCCTCTCTTTCTCCTTCCCTCTCTTGCCTTCCCCAAATGTGAGCACACAATGAGAGGTGACATCTGCAAGGGAGAGGGTTCTCACCAGAACCCAACCATGTTGCACCCTGTTCTCAGACTTCCAGCCTCCAGAATTGTGAGAAAATACATTTCTGTGTTTAGGTCCCCCCAGCTTATGGTTTTTTTGTTATGGCAGCCTCAGCAGCCTAATACACAGGGCTTGGCAAACTCCTTCTGTAAAGAACAGGATGATAAATATTTTAGGCTTTATGGGCATATGGTCTCCGTTGTAACGATTCAACTCTGTCATTGTAGTGGGAAAGCAGCCATCGACATATGTAAATGAATGGGGTGGCTGTGTTCCAATAAAACTTTACTTATAAAAACAGGCAGTGGGCCATTGAGCTGTAGTCTGTATGACCCCTAGCTTAACATAACAACAATCACTAATTTTGTTCAGAAATTAAAATTAGGACAAGATATGGTGGGGAAAGCTCCATGGGTGGGGTCTCTGCTCCAGGTGGTCCAGCTGGGCTGGAGGATCTAGTTCAAGATGGTGCGCTCACATGGCTGCCAATATGTGCTGGGCTGGTTGGGAGCCCAGCTGGGGCTGTGGGCTGGAGGCCCTGTTTCTCTCCTTGTGCGCCTCTCCACGGACTGCTTGGGCTTCCTTATAGCATGGAGCTCTGTTCCAAGCTCTTAGCATCCTGAGAGCATGAGGCAGAAGCTGTGTCACCGTTGATGCCCCGACCTTCAAAGTCACACTGTGTCACTTCTGCTACATTCACCAGCTAGCCCACCTCTCAGCAGGAGGAGTGTCCATGTCACCTCATAGGAGAGCCCCCAGAATGGGGCACCCTGATGCAGTGTGGGGGTAAACACCGGCACAGGCCAGAAGAACAGGTGACTGGATTGTAGCTCAGTTCTCTGAAGGAAACAACAGGCTTCTGTGGAGATAAAGGGAGGGTGTTTTCTCCACAGGGAAACAGAAGGGCTTTCAGGAGCTGAAACCAGAACACTTCCCAGTCATGGTCACGGGAACTGGGAGAAGGGAACGGCAGTACAATGCCTAGAGACCAGAAAGGTTATGCAGTGGTTCTCAACTTTCTGGCCCTTTAAATACAGTTCTTCATGTTGTGACCCCAACCATAATTATTTTCGTTGCTACTTCATAACTGTAATTTTGCTACTGTTATGAATCGTAATGTAAATATCTGATATGCAGGATGGTCTTAGGCGACCCCTGTGAAAGGGTCGTTCGACTGCCAAAGGGGTCGCGACCCACAGGTTGAGAACCGCTGGGTTACAGGCTGGGAAACCAGACCACCTGGGCTTCCTGCTTGGTCATTATTTTCCTTTGGCCAGACACTTCACTCAGGTCGGCTCCATGTTGGTCTTTACGAAAGGAGGGTGTATAAGCCCAGGTCACCTAAGGAGTGCCCGTGGGATCACTAATGTGAGATACTCATCCCAGAGCCCGATGCACACAGCCATGAACTATACTGCATGGTGGTATAGTTTCTTGTTTTTCTCCCTGGTTTTTGTTTTGAAATTGCTGGGTGGTACTATGTTTATAGTCCTGGAGATTTTCCTCCAAAATGAAATCAATGCCTCCAGCCCCAGTTTATGGGAGAATGATTTCCAAATTGCACAAAAGGAATGCCTCTAATATCTGCATTCTAGACAGTAGAGTCTGTCACTGCTGGAGCGAATCTGACCAGCCTGGGAGAGGAGGGAGGGTCAGTGGTGGGGGAGGGGGGTGTATTGGAATTGCCAAGGGAAGGGTATGCATTACCCAGAGGTAGAGGGTGCTGACCAGCAATTGCTTGGAGCCAATAAGATCTCAGCTGCAATCTACTGCTCCTGTGAGGAAGGGCTGCTGAATCAGCAAAAATCAGGTTGGAAATGAAGAGGAAGAAAGTGTCGAGTGTACAAGAGAAACAGCAATTTTATGTCAACAGTGTTTGGGATGGAGCAGATTGAAAGTGGGGGGCCCCACATTGGAACTCATGACCTTTGCTGGGGTGGGGGTGGGGGCTGGTCTCGTAATAACATGACTTCCTATTTCTGCAGAGCTTACCATGCACTGGGCACCCAGCTACTTGAATTCTCACAGCAACCTTATGGTAACTATCCATTATGCCCATCTTATGGATGAGAGCACTGAGCTCAGAGATATTAAATCACTGCCCAAAGCCACACAACTGGCCAGCCCTGGAAACAGCATTTGAACCTGAATCTTGGGAGGAAAATCAGCAGCCCTTTTGCCTACATATTTACTACATGTAGTTTTTCATTTTCACCAAACAGCCCTGAGATGCTAGTTCATACCCATTTAGATTGACAATATAAAATAAATGGAAACCTAATAGGAAGTCTGATAAGACCAAGTGCTGGCCAGGAGGCAGCGAACCGGAAGCGCAGGTGCACTGCAGGGTTAGAAGGAAAATCGCCAGGTGTTCTGGAGAGCAGCTTCTACTGTGTCCAAGATGTGCCCCACCCAACAATCCCACCCCCAGGCATTCAGAGAAGCACTGGGGACAGGGCTAGAAGGTGCTTTCAATCTTTGCAACTGCAAATAACAGAGCTAAACTGAAAACTCCCTAAACGACCTCCCCAAGGGGGTGGCTGAGGAGGTGACTGCCCTCCAGGCTGGTGGTACTTTAGGGAGGGGGTTTGGGTGCCCAGGGCAAGACAAGAAGTCAGAGCTTGAACTTTGAGGGTCGGAGAAGGGGCTAGTTTTCCACTGAGGGTCTGTTTACCCAAATGTGGAGAAGGTAGAGCAGAGCCCCTGGCTAATTGGAGGTTTCAATTTGCGCCCCTTCTAAATCTCAGCCTCCACTGCCTGGTTTGCAATTCCTGGCTCAACTCAATCGGAGACACCTGCCCGCACTCCCATTAGCGCGGACCACCGCGCAGTCCCCCCCCCCCGCCCCCCTTCTAGGACTGGCTGCTGCATTTGCCACACGCGCTCCCTGAGAGCTGGGAACGCGGGCTCTGCCTGTGGATTTATGGTCCAGGAAATGCATTTTAAATTGGTCCCAGGATACTCAGATCCAGGAATCAGCTACCATCTCTTGGGTGGGGGTGGGAGTATGTGTGGAGAGAGACCCAGTAACGCCGGAGACTCCACTTTACTCCCAAAGCGCGACCACTCCCGGAGTTGGGGGCTACCTGTTGTCTAGGGCGTAGGGGATTGGGGTACCTTACTCCAAGTGTGTGCGTGTGGCAGGACTTTCCTTTCATTTATGGGGAGGGGACATGTTTTCCGAGGCGAGCGCCCCCCTGCCTCCCACATTTGGAACTAAACTGCTTGTAAGGAAAAGGACGGATTATTTATCATGGGGAAAACCACCTGTGGTTTGCCAAGAGCCTCTCTAGTCGAGCCAGGGGCAGGCGTCGCAGATAGGAGCCAGGAGGGATAGGCGAAGAGCGGGGTTGGGGAGCGGAAAGATTCGGTGCGTCTCCAGACCGCCCCGGGCCTGCTCGGCCGAGCTTTACCCGCGGCTCCCGGGAGGGGTAGAAAGCGCTCTGGGTGCTGGGCGCCTTCCCATTACGCAGTTCCTGTCCCTTTAAATCCAAGTGCCGGGAAAGGTGGGGGCTGGGGTGCCCTGGCTGGACCCCTCTTTCCAGGCGGACCCAGGCAAGGGGGGAGGCCTGGCG